TCATCATCATCATCATCATCATCATCATCATCATCATCATCATCATCGAGGTCCATTCTATTCATTCTCTATGTCAAGTTGGAGGTCTCCTCCAGAGGGTTGTTGGACCCTAACAGCTCTCAATAGATGCTGCTGTTGGAGGATGCTCGTGCATGATGCATTCCATGGAAAAGTGGCACGGCCTACTTTACCTCTGATACAAGTGAAGGTGGAGTGCCTGCGATCCGCCGCGGCCCCGGGGGCCGCTCCTCAGGGGTTCCAGAACGGCTGGCCGGGGCATAGAAAGAGGTCACGTGATATCCAAAACAACCTCAGCCACCAGTCTGGCAGCACAGCCTAGCACAGTCGCAAGGCTGTGCTTGGTGATCATCTCACTTGGTCAAGCTGCCTGGCCATCGAGTGGATGGGATATGGAAAGACTTCAGCCATGTGCCACGCTGTCTTGGTCTTTGGATATTCCTCTCCTCCATCTACTCCCAATCTGAACTCGCAATCGGTTCCCTTCACCATACATGTTGTTCATGTACTTTCAGAACGACTTCCCCTTCTTCAGCTCCCATCAAAAGCTTGACCTTCCTCAGTGAACTCACCCAAAAGGACGCATCCGTCGGTTCCATCGGCCTCCGTCCCCTCTCCCCTTCACTCTAAAGGCCCAGGGGGCCATAGTGAGCATGCTCGGCGATGGCCATCAACTGCACCGCGTTGTAACCCATGCCTCGGTTCGGCGGCCGTTCTGCGGCGAAAGCACGAAGCGAATGCCTCTGATGATGGAAGTGGAAAACACCCTAGTATTTTGTAGACCAACATGCTCTACCCATCAGTGGATAGGGCGCTTCAGATTTATCGAAACCAGCTTTTCTGGGACCCACACACCAGACACCTGTCCTCCATTCTTCTTTTCCACTGGACCAAAAACTCGACCTCCTCCTTCCCAAAAGCTCCGCGCGGAACAAAAGGGATCCGGCGTCAAACGACACACGCCCCCAAGCGACGCTTGATGCGCGGCAGCACCGTCTCGGCGAACTCCGTGTAGGTGGCCACTTTGGGCTCCACCGAGCCCATTCCCACGTGGGCCTCGGGGCTCGGCTCGGCTCGTGCGAAGCCGAACCTGGAGAACTCTTGAACCACCAAAAGGGAAGAATCTGTGGGCACCCCGAGAGGTCACCAGCACCTGGTGACAGTCAGTCACGTCCAGAAGCATCCATGTTAGACCATGTTAGACCTAAGGAATGGAGACCTGGGAAGGGTAGGAAGGACTGGAAAGGACTGGGAATGGAGATCAGGTCTTCGCTGTGTTCGACCTGGTCCTGAGTGGGATCCTCCCAGGATCGGTCGACATGGTGGCTCTTGACCTGGACCACTCACCGTGACGGTGAGCGGAGATGGATTCCGAGTGGAGTCCCGAGGGATCGGTTTCGGGTGAAGAATGGAGCATGGTTCAGTATGGTTCAATCTGCTTTAGCGATAGATCCATATATATGGAATAGTTTACGTGTATATACATTACATGATGTAGTTATAACAACCCTAAAAGTATCTATTCCATACATGGATGACCATGGATGGTCTGGGCAGAGCTTGAGCTTGGTCATGTTGGTTTCCTCATTGGGACTCCCAATGTTGAGCTCGTGTGCGAGCTTGGCACCGTCTCGGGCTTCGATGTTCGGCGTGTCGAAGCTCTGACCCCCACACCTCGTAGATCTTCAAGTTGGCCGGCCTGGGGCCCATTCATCGGAGGGGGATCGGAGGGCTTCGACGTCGTAAGGGGCATCTGCGCAGTTGGAGGGGACAACTAACATGTGCCAGGCACTTGGAACCCTTTGAGTTGTGGACCCTCGATATAGTTTCTTGGGGGACTTGATATATTCATAGGATTTCATAGGGCTTCATCGCTGGGCTGTTGCACGGTCCCAGTGGAGCGGTGGCTCCTCCTCTTCGTCTTCCACTCTTGCCCAGCATCAGCATATCAAAAAGAGGTGAAGAATTCGTTCTGGAGAGAGCTCAACAAGCCCACGCAGTCAGGTAACCCTATATGCAGCGATCCTCAGCTTCCATCTCTAACCACAGAGGGCTGTGAACCACAAAAGCCACCACAGGTACGTTACATGCTTGAGAATGCTTGAGATCTACTTTAAAAAGAACTCCCCCAATCCCCTGTTTTTGTTTGGATTCATCCACAGAATCACCACTGAGCCATCTACTCATAGTCCCGATTTTCACCCCCTGTTTCACTCGCCCGCTCGCCCGCCTCGGAGGCCTTGGGTTCTGAAAAACATACCGATCCTGAGCCGCGGCGCTCACGCCGCAGGCCGAGCAACAAAGCGAGGACGCCGGGGCCCGCGGGGTCGGTCCCTCGCTTACGCCCGGGGTGGGGTGTCACCGACGCCCGGCAAGCAAATGGTCTCCAATTGACGCAGATTGGGACCCTCCAGCAGGTCTCCGATGGTTTTTGCAGACTTACCAAATGGCAGGTGGTGACTCAGTGGCCTGAGGCCAGTCGGGTCCAAGAAGAGGTCGGTTGTTCCTCCAAGGCCCAGTCCTCCTCAGGAGGCTCCCAGAAGACACCGTTGAAGAGGTTGGTGGTGTGGTCCTGTGGCTCGGACCCGCGACAGCTCTGCGGACCGGTCAGGGCCTCCGACACCGTTGTCCGACGTCAAGGAAGGAGGTTCCTTTCATCATCGAAGTCAGAAAATTCGAAGTCAGACCCATGTGAACTTGGCCCTTTGACCTCCCAGGAGGGGTTAGAGGGCTTGAGGGGCTTGAGGCTGAAGAAGAATGTCCGACAGGATTGACGTTGGACATGATGAAATGCCACTTGATCAAAGCGGGGTTTGGGGGGAGACCAGTCAGGAAGCGGTCTTGGATCTGACTGGTAGCTGCAATCTGAGGAGACACTCAAAGGGGGTTCCAACTCACTGATTCAACAATGCTTGGACCCTCCATGGCAGCGGTCGGACCCAACTTTTTGGCAGGGGTCCGGACCCAAACCAAACACTTCCTAGTGGTTCGGGCCCGGATTCTTAGGGTACCACGAAGCTGACATCCATGGCATGAGTCATCTGGATGCGCAAAAGACACTTGGTTGACTCCCTCAAAGTTAAAGGCTTCAACAAAACATGTCCGCCTCAGGGACTTGTTAAGACAGAAGCCAAGAATCACAATGAAAATATCTCACAATCAGAAGCCCAAAACTTTCCACCACTCGGACAGACGGGCAATCCTTCATGACCCTTCGCCCATCCTTACTTCGACTATCTCCATCTCAAATCCTCTGAACCTCTGAACCTCACTCACTCCATCTCGGTGCTGCCCCCCTCCGGTGCCCCTCCACAGGTGCCAGTGAGAGCAGTCACCAGGTGCCCTCCTTCTCAACGCCGTAACTGCAGCTCCATCCACCCCAGCTCCCCGCCTGCCAGGCCAACTTGCTCCAGGCAGGGACTCGGTCGTGCCACGACCCATCATTGGCTTCGACGCCTCGGTCCGGCGTAGCCGGGTGAAGGGGGATTGGTGGCCCCCCCCCCTCAATCCTAGTGGCTCCTGGCCGTACTACTAGGAACAAGAAGCTACTAGTAACAAAGGGCATCGCGACTCGAACGGAGCAAGGACGCTACCAGGACCGACTACTAGGAGTGTCCTATAGTATACACAGAATCCAGTGGAGAAAATCAGCCTTGATGGGAAACTACGACGATGGAAGTTTTTTCTGTTCGTGGGGTGTCACTGACATACTCTAGGTCTCTAGGTTGGAAAAGCCATGAAAAGCTATGTTTCAAATGACATATGTTTTAGAAACATCAAACAGAACTGCGGCACTTTGGAAGATGTACAATGTACTTCGTCCGTCCACAAATCCACCCTGCCCCACAAAGACTGTGAGCAACCTGCAAAGACTTGCTGGGTAACTTTGGTTTTGTAGTAGGGTTTTGGATCGCTTGGAGGTTAATATCAGTGGGTCGGGTAGCTGGTTCCGCAGAAAAGCCATCCCCAAAGCTCAAAGCGGCTTTCAACGTATTTCAGAACCAGTTCGGATACCCTCATGCAGAAATGTGTGACCCTTCACGAAAAGTTGCTATCACATGAATGTCTTCAGAGTTGGATCTGTTCTTTTTCCTGGGATTGAGAGATTGGGGCATGTTCTCAACTCGAGTTGAGGTCGCAGCGGTTTTTGCCTCCACCGAGACAAGTAACTCATGATCAATCACGTTTCCATCAGATCTTTGTCAAAAACATGTTCAAAAGTTCGCACCTAAACACTCCATGTATGGCATATTTGCCTACATTGGATATAATTCAGGCAAATATTCTATTCGCACAGAGTGTCTTGGTATGCATGACACCTCACAACAGGAGAGTCTTCAATCCTGCTGAGATTCGGGGCCTCCAGTTCCTTCATTCCAGAAAGTCATAGAAAATCCCTGGAAGATCAATTCCCAGCAAGTCCGCGGAACATGATGGAATCTTCCTTTTTCGCGCGAAGCTGGGCAACTGAGCCCCCCAACGCACTTTCAGCTGCGTCTGGTGGGGGATTCCAGGAGAGCCATCTGCCTCGCGCAGTCACTCCATGCGAACCCAAACTCCGGCCCGGCGACCAGTGATGGTCGCGTGGGAACCCACAAAAACGGCCACACTCACGTCACCCATCGTGGGTGACGTGCGATGATGGCCCGCTGTGGAAGTGGCAGGATCAACAGGATCATCGCGATCGGAGCAAGGATTCTTTAATTCACGGAATAAGGATCCTACCTAGTGTAGAGATAGGTTGAACTTGAACTGCCCTGTTTCGCCTAGCTATTCTTTCTACCACTCCCATGAGGTCTCCCAACCGCTCTGAAATACACATGTCTTTCCATTGATCTGCGAATCAAATCCAAGTCGCACCCATTAATGGGGAACTAGCCAAACTACCCACTCATAAAAGGCCTTCTATATCCTTTCTATATCCCCTAGGTGCCTTAGGTGCCTGCGAAAACGATGTGTTTCAATTTACAAGAATGTGTTGGATTGTGTTAGATTCGATGATTTGTGTGGTTGTTAAAGCATTTCCAGAATCTAGAGGGAGTTCATCCACAGGGAGAGAGAATTAAGTTCAGCCAAACCCACAACCAAAACATCCAAACACATGGAATAAGCTCATCCGTTCCTCCTTCCAATCCTTCCATTCGATCCCGCTTTTCGACGCCTTGTCTTTGATGAACAAGCTCCATCGGCCAAAGCCCTCATTGGTCAAGGGCGTGCTGTTTTGCCAGTCGTTGAAGCCACCGATGAGGAAGACCTGAAAGAAGCCGCAGGGACCCATCGAAGGCCACGATCCAAGATGATCCAAACGATGCAGCGACCGCGTGTCCTCCAACAACGCGGTCACACATGATCGAAGGTCAGGATCCCGAGGCCTGCTTCGCGTTGGGAAGCCATTCTCGGTAGACATATCCACCTTGGTGCCACACCCACCATTCACCCTGGAGACATGCTCGGATGCTGTCGGATCCTACGAAAGGTGCACCAGCTTTTGTAATTCATTGGGGAACTTTGGAAAAAAAGAGCGGGTTGAAGAACAAAAGGGTTAATGCTGGATACTCAATGCTTCACAAGTGATTGCTTGCAGAACTTTGTCTAGCGGTAGCAGGGCATGACCTCTCACACGGTCTGAACTCTCAGAGACCTCTGGCGCCTCTGCCATGATGCCTTTCTCAATGATATCATGAATCTGATTGAATCTGCCTTTGTTCTCACCCAAACAAGACCTCCGGGGCACGGGTTTCAGGTCTTAGACCCCCCGGCCTTTCTCTTCATCACGGTTGAAGCCAAAGATTTTGTAGCCTTCAGCAAAGGCTTCGATGCCACCCTCAGTCTTCTCCAACTCACTGAGCCACCACTTGTAGCCTCAGTGATGAACTGAGGCGCCCAGTTAAGTCGCCCAGTCCTACAAGCGATTCTTGGCGATCTCTCTTGTCCCTCAAAGCCTCTTTTTGGGGCACAAAGCGTCCTTTGTTTGAATGGGATTGAATGGCATTGAATGGGATGATCAAATCCAATGTTGGGGTTGCTTCTGGGGCTCTGGCTCAGGCTTGTTCATGTCGTCTAGCTCGGTTCAAGTCTGGTTCTAGACTTTAGATCATCTCTTCTGTCCCAAGGACAGAACAACTTAACACCAAGAACCAAGCCTCTAGCCAAACTTGCTGGTGTTTGAGAGGCAGGAGGACCTTAATTTAGTGTAGCCATAAAAGAAGCCATCTTGTGTAGCCATCGACAGAGGGGTGAAGAACCAACGGCTTCCGAACTCCCCCACCATCCATCTTCTGAGCTGCCAAAGTCGCCTTTTGAACAAGAGGACATGATTCAAAAAAGGCTTTCACTTTGGAGGGCGCCCTTTAGATAGATGTTTATCAATGCCCACAAACAGTATGGTTCTCGCTTTTGAGGGATGCCCTAATGTCGACTCTTGATTGTTGAAGAGTCTCTACACGCTTTGCGTGTCGATTAGCAAACGGTCCCAAAATACTGTCTGCACCTTTGAGCTTCAAAAACAACAGCTCCTTGAATAACATCTCCGCTTTCCTGTTTCTAAATAATATAAGTCCCTCCAATAATTAATAGTGTCTGCGCTTTCGCTCTGGTGCGATTTTAAGTGTTTTTATATCATCATGTATCACCATTTGTAACTATTTTGCTTTGTCAATTCGGGTTTTAATTTATTCATTGTTAATTTTACATTAAATTCCTTTTGATTTCTGCTGATTCCCTGTTAAAATTCCTGTTGCTTTCTATTGGCGTCCCTTTAAGTTCTGGTTGACCCCTGTTGACGTCCCTTTAAATGCCTGTTGTATTGATTTGCCTTTTAAAAGCATAAATCATAATCAAATCTTATCAAACTATCGCAAAAAATCTATATATTCCACAAAGAGTGCCGCTAGCCCAGCACACCAGAAATCTTGAATACCCGCATGCCCCATGAATAACGTCTCCGTCTTCTCTTTTTGGGGCTCCGTACATCCACCTGGATGGATGAATTTTTACGCCCCAGTGGTTCTGGGACCATCGCTTTCCTGCTTCTGCCACTTCGCTCCCTTCGGACCCTGAACTCCACTAAGTTCGGGGCCATTCACTCGATCCCAAATCTGGCCTGGCAGGTCGTTGGCGAGTTGGTTGACCCCGTTTCTGCATGCTCTGCTCTCCCCACCTTGACAGCTTTCCAGGCTGCGGTCGATCTCGAAGATCTTCAGCGACATCGCTTCCCCAAGACCTCGGTCGTTTCGCGAGGTCAAAACGGCCCTGCGAATGAGAGACCTGCGGAGACCTGCAATGCCTTGCCTAATGTATAACTCTTGATGAATTACAAAAACAAACATGGATTATGATCGTAAAACCTCTTCAAAACTTGGATCTGAAAACTTCGGGGGGTGAAATCTCCCGATCACCGGAGCTGCTCGTCCTGAAGTCGAATTTATCGGGGTGTCTATATGCGTCCGAGACAGGGCGGGCGCCACGACGCCACGACCGCCACGACTGCCACGACGCCCGATGGTACCAGGTTAGTGGAACGTTCAACATGGAAGTGGATGGCATGACCTCTAGGGCAATTCGCTCGAAATGATCCTCGACAAGCAGGAGGGACATGTTCCACTTCCATGCTTCGTTCCACGGAGGCTGGTCCACGGAGGCCGTGTGAGGGCCCCAGATCTAACGGAGGAAATCAAGCAGTACAACCGACCAGGTCATGTCGCCCTGTGACCGGACTCAAGCCGAAAACAAAAACTCGATCAGTGCATGCGTTGATCACTCCACCCATCCCTGTAGGTGATCAATGAACATGAAATCAAATGCAGATTCGGCGGATTTGGAGTGCCAAATCTCCACTACTTGCTACTTACTTGGTGGTTTCAACTCACTTGAAAAATTGGGTTCATCCCAAGTAAAGGTTGACCATGAAATGTTCTGAAACCACCACCCAGATCGCCATGGACTTGGGACCCCCGGTGGTATTGTGGCACGTCCCGCCATTTGATGCCCGCGCCATGCAAACGCGCGCGGTGCATCACTCAAGTCCGCCGACCGCGGGGCTGCGCCGGGGCCGATGGGTCCGCGCAAAGGTTCAAGGTGTGAACGATAGGATCCGGGTGCTTTGACAGCAAGAAGAGGGGGGTGACTTTTTGTTGGGCAAGTGCTGTTTGGAACTCAAAAGGCTTTCGGATAAAGGTGTCTGTGTGAATCTGGCTGCGGAAAAATCTTTTGTTGAGCGATGGCACCTCTAACTCACGCGATGTTTCTTCCTTGCAAACATCTGGTACGTCCAAAATGGGCTGCAAGACCGACCGAGCTGGACGGTGGACCCGGCGTTCCGTGGGCGTTCCGAGGGCGGCGCGTGGTTTCTGTGCATCCAACGACCAAGCAAAACCAGCTCAAAAACGGTCATCAAAGGTGGAACTGGAATTGAGTAATAAATGTATTATATATATAATGATCATAATAATATATAGTAATTATATATATTATATGCATGCAGTAATTAATAAATCTGTCTCACGTGAAAGCCATTGATTCATGAGCCATCATCTCGGTGGTGTTCCCAGACAGCAGGAATTGGGTTTCATTCAGGATTTGTTGGCCCCGTGTATCGGACGAACTGCGCCCGCCACTTACAGGGCCGCTTGCAATAAGAAGTTCGTTAAATTGTATGGAGTTGTTCTCTGCAACATTCTGCAACAAATTTATGAACTCTGACTGCTTCAGCACAGCTTCATCAGAACAACCTGAAATTGATGGAGTCTCTCGCACCGTCACGTTCCAAAGCAACCACAAGCTACTCGAACTGGTAGGCGACTCGAAGCTTCTCGGGGTTGCATCTGTCCCCGTAGAATGGATCGAACCCCTTGATGAACGTGGCCAGATTGGCCAAGCTGCTGCCGATCCACTGCCCACTGCCCCGATCTGTGCAACATCCGCTTGGCCTGGAACTACATGGGCTGGGGACACCATCGGAACAGCCATGGATGCCATGAGTCAACAGCGTCTCAAACGCCCACAAAAGAGGTAAACATATTGAGAAATGAGTTGCCTTGAAATGACTTCTGAATATCCTGACAGACTGAACTTACGCGCGCTCTTCACCGCCCTGCGCATGGCGCATGCCAACCCACTCTTTGAGCCAAAAGTTGCCTGCCCAAACTTCAATGGTTTTGAGCCTTCAAGCTTGCCAGTGGCACGACATCTGCCGAGCCTTCCCCCATGCATCCCCAGCTTTTTCCCCCCATCAGACCGCCAGTTTCCCCAGCCACATCTTCAAACCGGAAGACACGACGGCGTCGAACGGCCGGAACCTCCGCCGGATGCCCTACTTCGCCCCATGGGCCCGATGATTCGCCACATGGGAGGCCGCAGGGTTTCTTCGGAGAAAGACAAGAAGTCGAATTCAAAAGGTGAAAGTGGGATGACACTGGGCGTTTCGCCCAGTCGAAGGCGAGAAGTCGAACCCCACAGCATGTGACATCTTTTTGGATTCCAACCCGGTCGGTTCCATCTTCGGTGCCAGGACCGCAGAGTGAATGGCCTGGTTTCAGGAGCAAGAGGAGGGTATACAATGGCTTGGATGGAAGTGTTCGCAACCACCTTGTGGTTTGCCCTCTATCTCACAGCTTTATGATAGGCCCCCTTGTCGTTGAGGAAGCTTTACAAGGCTTCAGATATGTCGTTGATGGTGGGTGGTTGTATTATCCAAATCGAAAGTTTTCGAGCAAAATAATGGTCCACCCATGTCCGCGCCACTGGATATCTCTCCATGTTTGGATGTTGGATGCCACATAGGTCCCGGATCTCAGAGGTTCTGCTTTTGCCTCTCTTCGGTCGATGTGCAACTAAGAACGCACAGTTGGAACGCGAAGGGGGATCTGCGAGCCGTGCCCTGTTCATCTTTCAGAACAAATAGGTGATATAACATGATATAACTACATATAATATGTATAATCCGCCTTCAGAGGTTCAGATGGCATGTTTTTTATGTAAAAAATGCAATTGCTATGCTCTAGATGAAAAATGTCTAGGACATTCCCAAAGGTTCCGTCCAAGCAGACCGCAACAGTCGCTTCCGCAGCCAACAGCCTTGCCTCGGCACCCAAGAGCCAGCGTCGAGCCTCGTCTCGGACGGGGTTGATGATGTTGATGAAAGAAATGAGCGTTTCTTGATTCACCACCAGTTCATCACCAGTTCATCACCAGTTTCTGTTGATGTTGATTCTGGCAAGCGTCAACATCACCAGTTCATCACCAGTTTCTGTTGATGTTGAT